AGCGTGACCATCCCCCCTGAGGGGTGATCTCTCGCTTTCTGTCTGCCTGGCGAGCGCATGTGCCCTATAGCGAAAACCCCTCAAATAAAAAAAAAAATCTTATTAGATGACAGTGATAAATGAAATTAGAGCCTACAAAAAGATTTTTTTTAACTGAAGTATAAAAGTCAACTTGGTCAAAATTATCAGACTAGTTATCATAATTCTTTCAACAGTATTTACTAAGTAATTACAATGTTGTAGGCATTTTGCCAGATGATAGAAATATAGACAACTTATTTCCTGACTGGCCTTGAGTAAGTAACTTCTAATTCGCATTTTTTCAAGTGAAAATTAGGAATAATATCAAATCTGTAAGACTGCTGTAAAGAGGCAAGGTAATGTACACAACTGTACAACTACACAAGACTTCATACACAGTAAGTACACACTTTGCAGTTCAAGTTCTAAACATGGCGTCTTGAAAATCACACCAGGCACATGTATGTCTGGCCAAATTACAGAATTGGAGGAGAAAGGATTGCAGCTTGGCTACTCCCTCTTAAGGAGCTAGAACAGACAGCATTATCACTAACATTTATTTCGAATTTACTATGTGCTAAGAGCCATGCTAAGCACATTACACATATCACTTCAACTTTTTTTCAAAATAATCTTATGAGACAGATAGATCCTCTTATTTTTCCCATTTTGGAAATGAAGTAACTGAGCCACAGAAAGATTGAGAGCCTGAGGCCAGCTGGTGGTGCGATGATAAAGCAACACTCTGAGATGCTGGACCCACAGGGGAAGGTCTCACGTTTTGCATCCCAAGGCCTCCCTGGACACCCCAAGTAGGTGCACACGTGCCAGTAATCCAGACTAGCTGAGGGTGGAGCTGGATCACAGAATAAAGACCCCACTGGGGGTACACACTCACTCTCCCATGGAAAAAACTAGTAAGTTGAAAAAAACTTAAAAGTTAAGGAGCTTGCCCAAGGTAGTATAACTAGTAAGCAATAGAGCCAGATTCAAACTCAGGCAGCTTTAGGCACTGTGCTCTTAACCACTAGACGATACTACGAACTAAACATTATAATACTGTAAGAGTTTAAATGGAAGTACATGCAACAAACAATGCAAGACAATAAAGAACCAAAGTTTGTCAGTACTAAATCTGAGAGTTAAAGGGTGTCTGCTTGATACACAGGAAACATGCATACCAGTAAGATGGGCCAGATACAGAAATTATTATCTAAACAACAATTAATGATGCATTATGATGCTGCCAATGCCAAAACACTTGGAAAAATGGCTAAATAATTGCACCCAGTAGAGTAATACCACTCATGAAGCATTATTCACCAGGAAGAATGTAACAACCAGTGGCATTCATTATAAACAAATAAATACAAGCTAAGTCATCAAGCTAGTGCAACTTGTCACTGACATGATTTACAATGATACTACAGGTGGAGTTTGTTCTGCGCAAAGTTATGAAATTGCTAAACTAGTCTTGGGGCAACTCTTTCTCCCCATTAGACATTCAGTGCCACGAACTTCAGTAACAATCATTTCTTACTTCTCTCACACTCTTCACTGTGCTAACTCCCCACAGTTTCAAAGTAAGAATCATAGATAAAAGCTTAAAGATTTGGAAGAGATACGTTTTATAAAGAATCAAGATCTTAAACCAAACAAATTTAAAGGAAACTATGGAAGAAATTCAGAGGCAGGGAGGGGAGAAAGGTGACATTTTAAAAGCTGTTAAGTTTCTACAATGCCTTTAGTAGTCCTTTGGGTACAAAGGTCTAGAATGATTTTAGAGATTTTAGGAGTGAATGCCAATAATTTGATAACCTGTTTAGATTTGAATCACAGTAGTGCTTCACAAAGAAAGCTGGATTCCACATGGCCAAAGAGTACTGGCCCAACAGCTTTAAAAGGAAAATACTAAATTAGAAACACCAGACACATGTACATGTGGCTTAGAACCCTGATGAGAAAGAGACTCAGAGCAGGAAGGACTACTGTGTGACCAGGTGTACCATTGAGGGTTCTTGTGCACACTCTCTTTCTCCAGCACATGCATGTACCCTCTGCCCTAAATATACATATATTAGAATATATTATATGTTTAATATTATACATAATATTAAATATATATAGAATATAATAACACTTATCCTGAGACCAGCAGTTAGTGTAATGGCTATGTCGCTGGACTCCCACGTAGTCGACCGCAGTTCAAGTCCTGGACCCGGCGGCTTAAACTCATGCCGGGCACATGTGCATGCGTGCCCAAAATCCTGAGAGGAGAATGGAGGAGAAGGGATTGCAGCGTGGCCATTCCCCCTGGGGGGGTGATTTCTTGCTTTCTGTCTCTCTGTCTCTCTCTGTCTTTCTGGCAAGCACACGCGCCCTATAGCAAAAACCTCTCAAAAAAATAATAATAATAATAGTAACACTTATCCTACCTAACCTCAGAGTATTACTACCCTAAGAGTATTACTGCAAAGATCAAAGATACTATAGATTATAAAACTTTAAAAATTGGAGCATTATACAAAAACAACTTACTACTAAACATTTTCTAAAACTGTGATTTAATTTGTTTTACATATAAAGCTAGTAATACTGTTTTATATATTGGGTCATCAGAAAAGTCATGATGTATTTTTGCATAGAAAGACACAGGAAAACATGTCATAACTTTTTGAATGGCCCAATTGTTTCTAAACTGTTTCTTTAAAGAATTATTTTATTTAATTTTTTAAATTTATTTTTAATTTGACCAGAGAGGGACAGAGCAAGAGAGAGAATGAGAGAGAGAGAAAATGAGAAAGCAAGCCACCACCAGGTCTGGAACTCAAACCTTGGTCAGCCAAGTGGGAGTCCAGCACCCTTAACCACCACGCCACCTGTCAGCCCCAAGTTTCTACACTATTTACATTATAAACATATGTGTGTCCTGTGATTTCAAAACATTAAGAACTTTCAGCCTAATTAACATACTTGATATCCTTGTTATACCAAGTGTGGTCCACCAGCCAACTACACTGGCATTACCTGGAATCTCTTTAGAAACAGTCTGTTTTCACAAGATTCTCCAGGCAATTCCTATTAACAATAAGGTATAAGAAACACTGCTTTATCCAGTAATACCATTAGCAATCATAACTAAATAGGAAATTATATTCAGAAAAGATAATTCAAATATTGGGTTGTCAGAAAAGTCATGACACATTTTTGCATAGAAATGTATGTGATGACTTTTCTGACAATTCAATACAGGCATCTGACTTAGCTCCAGAAATTTAAAGAGAGATATTTCAACGAACAGTAGTTACAGAAGCGTATCTAAACAAATGGATCACAGGTCATGTCTTTTTCATTCAAATTAATATTTCTGCCTGATGATTATTCTTAGACAACAACAGCAACAACAAAATCCAAATAAAACAAAACAAAAAAATTATCAATAATTATGGGACCAGCAGTTAGCGTAATGGCTATGTCGCCGGACTCCCATGTAGTCAACCACAGTTCGGGTCCCGGATCCGGCCGCTTAAACTCATGCCGGGCGCGTGTCCGCACATGCCCAAGATCCTGGGAGGAGAATGGAGGCGAAGGGACTGTGACATGATCATTCCCCATCAAAAGTGTTTTCTCACTTTCCCTCTCACTGTTTCTTTCTCTCCAGCAAGTGCACCACATGCCCTCCCCCTACCACAAAAAAAATTATCAATAATTAATATAAAAGGGGGAATCAACGTACATTTGTCCACATACATAAAACATGAACATATTAATAATTAAATATATATTAAACATTTCTGGCATTAGCTTAAAAACTATTAATATTTTAAATTATATTAATATTGGAAGCTGACCATACCCAAATTTATAAATAAGAATGTCAAGTAATGTAGGATATCCATTAAGTATCAAAAAAAGATAGCTACATGATCCAGCTGCAGTGGCACACAGGCAGCACCACTACCTGGGAGGCTGGAAGCCACACGGGGATACAGGTTCAGTTCCCAGACCAACCTGAACACACAGACATAGCTGCACATGCCAATAATCCTAGCTAATTGAGAAGCTAAGGCAGGAGGATCACAACACAGTGAAATCCTCTAAAAATACCTAACTCTTTCTCCTTTTCCCGCTGCTTCTTTTTTCTCTCTCATAAAGAAGAAAAAAGAAAAAGAAGAGACCATCTTTTTTTTCTCTTATTTATTTCTTCCATAGGTGGGAGGAATGGGGAGGTCTCCAACAGGGTCTTCATACTGTAACCCACTCCCAGCCTCAGCCAGCCAGGATCACAGGCACACAAATCCACCCAGCATGTAACGTGATCCACAGGGCACTAACAGGGATTCTCCCTTCCCATGTGTCTTTAGCAGAGTGATGTGCTACACTGTAGCAGGCTAGATACCATCTTGTTGACAGAGAAGAAAAAACAATTTTCCAACACATTAAAGATGTTTACTGAGCTTTGAAATCAGACATTCAACCTCCAACACATTAAGGATGTTTACTGAGCTTTGAAATCAGACATTCAGATTCTTCTCTGACACTATGATTAGTCTTTAAACAAGCTACTTAATGTCTCTAGCCTTAATTTTCTCATGTTTAAAATGAGTATAATACACCCCAAATAAAAATAAAAAGTAACATAGCCTCCTAGTATTATAGGTGATAATCATTATTTATAGCAAACAGGAATTGGGTCAATGGATGATGCAGTAGTTAAAGTGGTTGGATCCAACATGGCCAACTCTGCGGTTGAAGTTGCAGATCCGGTGGGTTGAAAAACATGCAGGACCTGTGTACCAACAAGCCCCAAATCCCAAGACAAGAAAAGAGAGGGGACTGTGGCATGGTTGTTCCTCCGGAGGGTAATTTCTCTCTCTGTTTCTGTCTCGTCTCTCTCTGGACGAGTACACAAACCCTACAGCAAACTAAAAAAGAAAACAGGAAATAATATTGTAAAAAGTGAAAAATGTAGAATTTACCTTATCAAGTTTTAGTTCTAATTCTGCCACATCTCCTTCTACTTCTTCCAAAGCAGCCCTAGAAAAAAAATATATATATAAAAGTTATTTCGTTGTTTAAACAAATACTTTACTCTTGAAAAATAACTCTAAGGGAAAAGACAGGTATGATGCTTAAAAGTTATATTTCATGGGACCAGCAGCTGGTGTAATGGCTATCTCGCTGGACTCCCATGTAGTCGACCGCGGTTCAAGTCCCAGACCCACGCATGCGTGCCCAAGATCCCAAGAGGAGAACAGAGAAGAGATTGTGGCGTGGCCATCCCCCCTGGGGGATGATTTCTCGCTTTCTGTCTCTCTGTCTCTCTATCTTTCTGGCAAGTGCACAGGCCCCATAGCAAAAGAAAAACTCTCCAAAAAAAAAAGTTACATTTCACAAAAAGTAGTCATCAGTAGTCATTAGAATGAAGTATGAATACTTCATAATTGTGTAATACAACAGATAAATATAATTATTTTTTAGGACAAGGAGAAAACACATTAGGTTGATATACTTAAAGTATTAATATTACTCAAATTAAGAACACTAGAACTATTTAGTACAGATTTTTTAAATAAAAATAATAAGAATAGTAAGAAATTTTAAGAGTCTTACAAAAATTCAGACTTCTAGACAACAAAATAGCAAAGCACTGTCAAAAACAAGAAAGGGCTTTTACTTCACAATTTTAATACAAAAAAAAATTGGCAAAGGTTAGATTATATAAAAACCAGAAGCTAAGTCACATATTTTTATGATAAGGGGATAAGAAAATTATATTATATATTGAATGTCTCTTATCCAAAATGCTTAGATTCTTAAGTGTTTTAAACCTTAGATTTTTCCAGATGTTGGAATATTTGGATATACATGAGATATTTTAGGGATGGGACGCGATCTAAACACAAAATCCATTTATGTCATATACACATTGTGTGAAGGTTAATTTTACACAGTATTTTAAATAATTACTGTACAAGAAACAAAGTTTGTGTACAAGTGGAATTTTCCATTTGTAGCATCATGTCAGTACTCAGTTTTGGATTTTGGAGCATTTCAGATTTCAGATTTTCAGATTAGGGATGACCAACCTGCAGTTAGCACTTGATATCACTCTACCAAACAACATTCCAACATGGGAAATTTGTCTAAACAAAAGAGCAAGGAAAACTTTTGGAAGACAATAAAATTTACAGGTCATGGTCTACTGTGAGGTTTAAGTCTTCAACCCAGCATGTTTGGTGGCTTGGAAAACATACCAGAATCATGTACATGTGAGCCAAAAATCTGGAGAGGTAAATGGAGGAGGTGGGATTGTGGTGTGGTCATTCCTGTCAGGGGGCTATGTGGGGGACAAGCTTTCTCACTTTCTCTCTTTCTGTCTCTCCAGTGAGCAAATATGCCCCACAACAAAATAACAAAAGAAATAAAATTTTATTTTTAATCTTTTTTAGGGTTGAACCTGTAGTCTAGTGATGAAAGGATATAGATAGGATCCTACATGGCCAACCACCATTGAAGTTCCAGCCCCAACAGCTTACAAAACACTCAGAGCAGGTGGCATAGTGGTTAAGGTGCTGGATTCCCATGTGGCTAAATACTGCTCAAGTCTCAGACCCAATGGCTTAAAACTCACACCAGGTGTGTATGCATGTGAACCCAAAATCCCAAAAGGACAATGGAGAAGAAGGGATCGTGGCATGGTCATCCCTCCTGGGAGGTGACTTCTTGCTTTCCATCTCTCTTCTCTCCAGTAAGGGCACACACCCTATAGCAAAAACTTAAAAAAAAAAAAAAAAAAAAAATCCCACTGGCATGTGCCAGGCATGTGTGTATGTGAGCCCAAATACAACAGAACAGAGAAATGGAGAAGGGACTGTGGTATGACCATGTGCCATTAGGCTCGCTCACTCGCTCGCTCTCTCTCTCTCACAGAGCACAGATATCATCTAGCAACTAAAAAGTTATTACGCATTAACATAAAAAAAGGTGACTAAGTAGCAAAATAAGCAAAACAGAATAGAAGTAATAAGGGCTACAGATGTTAAAAGAAATGAGGAAAAAGAAGGCAATCATCAAATTCACAAGGGTCGGCGAACTATAGCCTGACAGGCAAGTCTGGCCTGTAACCTGATTTTATACAGCTCATGAGCTAAAAATTGCTATTATATTTTTAAGTGTTTGAAAAAAATCTAAGTAAAAATAATATTTTGTGACACATAAGATTATACTAAATTCAAATTTCATTGTCCATAATGTTTTATGAAAATACAAACAAGCTCATTCACTCTCACTCTACGGCAGCTTGCACTCTATAATGGCAGACTCCCATTCAGCAGACTTCCCTTATCTTTATCTACTGCTCACAGTTTCAGTCACCTGCAGTCCACAGTTCAAAAGTAGCAGAGCACAATACAAGAAGATACTTTGAGAGAAAGGTCACAACCATATAACTTTTATTACAGTATATTGCTATGATTGCTCTATGTTATTATTAGTTGTTGTTAATCTTTTTCTGTGCCTAACTTATAAATTAAATTTTATTACAGGTGTGTGTGTGTGTATACATATATATTCCACTGGAGATCCTGAAGTGTATCTCCCACAGACAGAAAAGGACTACTATAGTTGCAAGAAAAACTATAAGACCCATAACACCTAAAGTATTTACTACTTTCTCTAGCTTTTTACAGAAAAAATTTGCTGACTCCATGAATATGAAATATAGGAATGTGAATGAAATTCCTTTCTCATATATGAAGTATATACAAAAAAATAAAATTTAAGACTTAGCTCTACCTCTCTGTACCCTAGGAAGCTAAATAAATCCACAATTCAGAAAAACAGATGTTTTCTTTTTAATAATGCCATCATCCTTTATCTACTCATGCTTCAGTTTTTTATGATCAATTCAGAAAAACAGTGAACTCAAAACATAAAACTAGGACAGAAAAAATAATAACAAATGTTAACACTGAGACACTTTTAATCACATAGGGATCACTTTTGGCTGAGTTAAATGAAGCTCTATGAGAAGCACATAAATAAAACTCTCCCATCCCAGATAATTGCATATCCCTGGTATAACAATAAACTTTTTAAATGTACTGTTTTTTAAAGAGTATCCATAAAAACAACTTAATAGAATGTGTTACATGAACATGATATTTTCTTTATAAAAGAAAATTACTTGAAAGAAAAAGGAGAATAAAGAATTATTTTCCTATCTACTTAAGATCTTTAAATAACACTTCAGTCTTTGCAATAATCTTAAAATGGAATTAATAATTTAGAATTAAGTCACATGGTGATGCAATCTAAAATGCAACAGGAAATTCAAGATCATTAATAAGCACATAAATATCCTCAAACAATGAAAGATGGATCTGAGGCTCTAAGTCATAACTATCTCCTAAAGAATTATCAAGTAGGTAAAATAAAAGCTGAAAATACAATGTGCAGATCTTGAAACTATCGTTTGTATCCTTCATTTGATATACCAGCTGCACTCCTAAAAGTTGCATATAAACTGAATAACCATTGAGTGACCCAGAAAAGGTGCCTATCTGTGTGCATCATACCTATCATCCCAAACTAACTTTCTCTTTCAGCTCAAGATCCTTACCACCTTGAGCAATGCTAGACAAATTCTATGCAAAGAAAGGACAACAGCTATTATCAGGGATCCAGTCCACAAACCCAAGGGCAACCCTGTGACTCATAAGGTGACAAAAAAGGGTGCCCAGCTAGGTGGTACAGTTGCTAGCAAACTGAACTGCAGCGCTGGAAGTCACGTGGCTGACCATGGGCTGGGATCCACAGGCTATCTCAAAACAGTGTGCATGTGTGTCCCAAGATCTTAATGAGCAGAAATAGTGGAGAAGGGGGATTGTGACATGACAGGACCCTGTCAAGGGGACTTTTCTCCCTCAATCCACACATGTGCACTCTTATCATAAGTAAAATACCTTTTTCTGGGACCAGCAGTTGGTGTTAATGACTATGTCGCTGGATTCCCATGAGGTCAACCACAGTTTGAGTCCCACCGGGTGGCTTAAACTCACACCAGGCTCACGTGCGTGCGTGTCCAATATCCCGAGAGGAGAATGGAGGAGAAGGGAGTACAGCGTGGCCATCCCCCCTGGTTTGACTTCTTGCTTTCTGTCTCTCTGTCTTTATGGCGAGGGCACACACCCTATAGCAAAAACCTCTCAAAAAAAAGAATAAAAAATACCTTTTTGTTTTGCTTTTAGGTTTTTCCCATAGGAAGCGTGTGCTCACCAGAGAGCAGAGAGACAAAGAAAGGGAAAGTGAGAAATCATCCCCCCAGTGGAGATGGCCACCCCACAGTCCCATCTCGAACTGTCCTCTTGGGACTTTGGGCACACATGCCTGGAATAATTTTCAAGCTTCCAGGTTCAGGACTTGAACCTCAGTTGGCCATGTGAGAGTCCAACAACTTAACTACCACACTACCTGCTGGCCCCAATAAATACATTTTTTTTAGAGGGTTTTTCACTATAGGGCGCGTGCGCTCGCAGGACAGAGACAGAGAGACAGAAAGCGAGAAATCACCCCCCGGGGGGGGATGGTCACACCGCAATCACTTCTCCATTCTCTCGGGATCTTGGGCACACATGCACATGCGCCCGGCGTGAGTTCTAAGTCACTGGGTCCGGGAAGCAAACGTCGGTCAACTATGTGGGAGTCCAGCGACATAGCCATTACACTAACTGCTGGTTCCCCCCAATAAATACATTTTTAAAAACAAGCCCCATACCAATGAGATTTGTTTTGTACTTTATCCATCTACCTTTTCTATGAAAGACAGGGTATTGGGGGGCACCCCCAACCAGGTCCTCATGCCATGACCCACCCACACCCTCAACCAGCCCAGACTGTAGACATGTGCACACACGCCTGGTATGCTCAGTAAAGTCGCAGGACACAAACCCATGACCTTTCCCACGTGAGTCCAGTTGCCACACTGCTGTGCCACGCCTCAGCCCCGCCCTCTCGGAAGGAGCAGAAAACACAGA